AACATCTAAACAGATCTCCTTTTGGAATAAATATGTGCGCATCAACACACACTTTGGGATTTTAGTGGGAAGTGGCTCCGAAGAAGAAGAAGAATTATCAAAAGAAACATGTTTTTCTACTTTAAGCTTTTCTATGTTTTTATTTTTATTTTTACCAGAATTAAGCACCCTAGTGTTTGTTCTGCCGGGGCCATGCTGTAAGTTGCTAAAGGTGTCTGGGAGAGAACTGAGTATAGTCCTTACGTCCAAACACCTATGCGTTGTTCAACCCGCAGGGATCAACCAAGGGATTCAGAAGAAAGTGTTGAAGACTACAATGGAGTAGGTCCGCAGGTTGGCAAATAAGTCCGCAGGTCCGCAGGTCAGTTTGCAGAGTCCGCACTTTTAAGTCTAAACGGAGCGGATGTCACACATCAGGAAAAAGCCTTTTGCTATATAGCAGAGGGGTTTGTACATATGTGCAAATAAAGCCTATTATAGCACCTATAGCACTTATAGCACTATAAAAGCAACTATAGTACGATCAAAGTCCCTATAGTACTTTAAGAGCAACTATAGTATGATCATAGTGACCATAGTGTTATACAAGCAATAAGAGCAACAGGAGCAACAAAAGCAATCATAGTATTATAGATGCAAAATTTAAAATGCTATATATGACTACCATAATGTTTAATATGCATATTTGCTACTAAAGATAAAATTTGTGACAAACATCCAGAACATTACTATGAGTCCAATGATGAGGACATGTATCGTGCAAACCACCAAAAGCAGGGATAAGTTGACAAACCTGTCTAATACTGGATAAAGATATGATTTGTCCTGGAGGAAAACCTTCAGTGTTTAGAGATACCTTGTTAACAGTGTACATTAAGTGGTCCTTTTCAGCTGTGGATTTGAGGTTGCTATACCACTCTGCATATGCCAAATGATGTTTTGGCCAATTATTGGGGGATGGGTGGAAACCGTATAGTGTTTCAGGTAGTTTAAATATTACTCTCAATCTCCCAATTCTTGTTCCTTGAATACAGTTATTAGTATTAGACATGCTTGTGGTCATAGGGTAAGAGAAATATTACCTTTCATTCCTGTAGCCTCACAATTAGGAGATTTCATCACAACCACTGTGTCAAACTGCAACAATGGATTGTTTTTTCCACTTGGCCTGGCTTTGACAGAATCTACCTGGTCATTCTCCAGGTCAACATCATTGCCTAGACTATCTAAACAGAATTTGAAGCCATGGAAGATATCGAGGTTTTGAAATGGAAGGGGTAGTAATCTGGTTTCACCACGTGTATTTGGGTGAGTTAGTTTACTGTTAAGGAAGACTTTGAGTGCTGATTCAAATCCAGGACACTAATGCTTCTCCATGACGTCCAAAATGCTTTGCTGACATTTATTAGGATACTTGGCGACAACATGTCTTTGGTCTTGGAATTTGGAGTGAGGGAATTTGTCTTCTTCATTATCCATGGTTATTTTCAGGTAGCTTTGGAAAGCGACCACCTTTTTACAACACAGAAGCCATGTCACCATTTGTGGTGCTTCATTTCTTTTATTAGAAGCCCTCCAACCTTCTTTTGCAAAGTCGATATGGAAGCGCTCGAACATCTCCGTGTTGTAATTGTTGGTGGTTCCAAACCATGTGATGAACTGGCAGTAGTGGAGGAGAGAGTGGAATTTAGGGATGTTCAGGTGTTCTCTTATGTTGAGTTGTACCAATATATCTTTGTGTTTGTGGAAAGTGTCCAAAGCATCTGAAAGGTAGCCCAGAGTGGTGTTGTCATGAGTGGGATACTGTGCTATCTGGATGAAGTCCAAGAGGGATTGGTATGCAAGTATTGCGCTCCTGGGGATTTTTCCAATCAAACATCCTAGCAATATACAGGCCATATCCTTTCTCTTTTTTCCTCCAATCTGGCCTAATGCAGAGATTCCATTTTTGAAATGACAAACACCATAACAAGCAGGAAGGGAGGAAATGCACTGGTCAAGCTCCTTGGGATCCATAAGGTCCTTGCACCAGTTCACCATATGCTTAAAGACGCCTTGGTATAGTTGATGGAAAATGTCGGGGGAAACAGATAAATGAAATGTTGCAATGAGGGAATTTAAGCCAGAATGGCTCGTAAACACCACCAGAGACCTGTTTTTCCTTGCACCTCTCCTGAAATTGATTGAAGGAGTTTGCATTGACTTTAGCATCATAAATAACTTCCTCAGTCCAGGTTTGTGTACATTGTCGATGATGAGAACTGTTGTTAGAAAACCACACACAAAAACAAACTAACAAACAATCCTCCCAGATTCCACAAAACTTGTTTATGGGCTTTGCCTCCTAGAACAGTGGGTGCTCTGGTTGTTCGTGGGGTGGTATGTATGAAGATCCTTCAAAGTAAAACCCAGAGATGTATGGGTGTGGGTTTTGAGGAGGAGGGATAGTTGAATTTATAGAAGATAGGGGCTTAGTGACGAGTATAGATGAGCACTACCTTGCTAATTGTAGCACAGGGTAGGTTTGAGAACGACGAGGATGACGAGGTGACGAGGTTCCCAGTGATAGCAGGCTCCTGACGCACAAACTGTAGTGCTCAGAAGGACTCTGATCGAAAGGGATGACAATGACTTCAAAAGTGGGAAGTGACGATGACAGCAGTTAACAGTGGTAGCAGTGGGAAGTGTTGTGACCACACTGGATCACAAGTAGCAGTAAGAAGTGGACTTAAGATTGGAGAAGAAGTCTGGAATTGAGTGCTTTGTTTTGTTGTTTTGACAAGGTAAAATACAGGGGTTTATATAGTGAAAAGAAAGGTAGGCTATGCACAGTATAGCTGCGCAAAAAGAATGAGAAAGAACATGAAGGAAGGAATGTACACTGGCGAATCCTGTGTAGTTGGTACAGGATAAGATCGTCAAAATAAGGGAAAGAAAGAGATAGAACAATGAATGCTATGTAAGTAATGGTACAGGTTTGTACAGTCATAAAAATAAAGTCCAATAAGAGAAAAAGAGCAAGAAAATTGTGATGTCATAAGAAGATGCAGTAAAAAGAGTATAAAGAAAAAAACAATATCAGTATCAACACAGTTCCTTTATTGTCAGTCAGGCATTCTAAAAAAATATGTGTCCATAAAATAATTTAAAAATCAAAATAATCGCACTATAAATGAATGTTCTGCTGAAAAAAAGAAACTGGAGCCACCAGTCCACCACCTAGTCCAAATCTGACAGTTCCATGGCTTTACCAATGGACTGGTTGTACTGGACCACCTGGTCAAGCGAGGGAGGGAGGGGAGTAGTTCCAATTTGGAACAAGTGAGTCCCAGGCAGGGTGTGGTAGGTGTAGCTGTAGCGAAGACGATGGACAAAAGATAAGTGTACCCAAGTGAATGGGACGGCAATGAACATGGGCAACGCAAGGGGATGAACCTTTTCCAGCTCAAAAACTACCCACCCACGCTCCAACCAGGCAAGACGAGCAACCGATGTTTTGATAGTATATGATGGCAGATCGACGTCATGAAGATGGACCTGTTGCCCTATTTGAACCGGCCGCCGGGGCTTTGCTGATATCAGCAGTGGCACGTGGTAGTTGACGGATTGGCAACGGAAGCGGATAGGAAGTGGTGACATCAGAAATGGTGGGGGTGCAAATAAGATGAGGAGGAGGAGGGTGGAGGTGACAAAAAAGTGGATTAGAATGGGGATCCAGAAATGACCGTCAGGTGAGAATAAAAAGGAGAGGAAGGGGCCCATGGTGGGGCTAGGCAAAGGAAGGGGAGTAAGGGAAACGACAAAAGCGAGGGCACAATGCAATGTGTAGCCAGTGGCGACGCAAAAATTTGCCAAAATGCCGAAATGCGGAAAGTACCGAATGGAAAAGCAAAGGTGAGCGTGACTGGATTGCCTAATAGAGGTGGTGCCGATCAGCCACAAGTTCAAAACAGGCAATATTAATTACTATTCCACGTGGCACTGTGCCTGTGTGGCGCAAAGGCGAGTCTTTTTGAATATTCACTTCGTTATTGACACCTGTCCATGCTACCAATCAACTTTGGTGCATGACAACGTGGCTCTCCAGGAGTAGATTCTGAGAGCTCAGAAGCAGGTCTTTTGCGTTTGGGACATGTGCCGTACTTTGTATATGTCACAAAACATTGTTCTGGATAATCTGCAACGTAGCAAGCCAAGATAGGATGGACTCTCCTTATAGCACCATCCCCCCCAGTGACATTAATTCCTTTGATGCGAGCTCTCTTCAAAGGCTCTAGTATAATCCGCATCAACACATGAAAAAGGTGCTGAACCCTTGAAGACTTCTCCTTTGCAGTAAGCTGAGATCCTATGGCTTTGTTGACGGACAGATGTCCTATAAGTATGCAAGTATGTTGGCTTGGCTTACAATGTATAGCTCTGGGTATGTTTCCAAGTGTGAGATAGACAGGGTAGGCTGATTTAGAATTAGAGAATTGCGTGAGCTGGGTTTTGTCCGTTGCAATAATAACAGGAGCCAAGGCTGCCCCAGATGGTAGACGAGCCTATTCCGAAGATTCTGTAAGTCACTGTAAGTGGGACATACATAACCATGCTCACCTGAATAGCATGCCACCATTTTCCCGTCCACATTTCATGATAAATCCTTGATTCTTTCCTCACATTGGTGAAAATCTTTTTTGGGCAATAGACTATATGTTTGGCATGTGCAGGGTTTCCAAGGAGAGCCCTGATGGCTGAAAGTACATCTCTATACTGGATAAGGTGTGTCTCGTTTGGAGTATCAGGAAAAGATATCATAGTTGATTTCCATTCAGCCCTAGACGGTATGCTGTAGTCAACAATTTTGTGTAATCCATGTATATTATGGTACAAAAGCCCCAGCTTCTCCCTGACCTGGCAATAGTATAAGCAAGATTCGTAAAAATCATGAAATCACTGACACCTGGGATACTTAACAGCCAATTAAAAGACTGGTGCCCTATACCATCTTGAATTGCCTAACATGCTACTCTCCAATCCATTTCCGAGGCAAAGGGGAAGAACTTGGGGTCTGAAGCTTCACCCATTTCTACGTCTTCACCATCCCCACCTGCTGCAATGAATTCTCTTCTCCACCTCTGATGTAAAGTCTCGTCCATGCTTATGAGCTTGCCAGCTGTGGGATGTTCCACCTCCATACGTTCATCCTCATTGTCATTTAGGACTATTGAGTTCTGATGAAGGGATGACCCTGCTGTGTTTTCCCCATCATCATTAATATTAGAATGTGCGATTGGAATGAATGAAAAAAAATCCTCTTGCAACTCCTGTAGTACTTCGCCAATTGCCCCCTCCATATACTCATCATCTATTAACATGTCTAATCCACTAGCTTCTTCTCCATTATCTTCTTGTTGCTGCGGGATAGCAAGTGATCATAACTTTCCTTTGTGGTACCACAGGCATTTTTTTGCAGAGCCAAGATGTGTGTTAACAGCATGAGCTATTGCAAATGACCTTCCACATTCAGCAGGACACATATAGGGAGCATCTCTGTTAACCAATGTATGATGATGATATATAGGCAAGGACATAATAGGAGAAATGGAAGTCTGAATAATAATGGTGCTCTGAGTCACTGATAAAATGAATCTGTAATGGGTCTTGCTATTTGGGGCAATGCAGCAGTTACGGTCATAAGTTGTCCATTCATGTGCTAGTTAAAGTATAGAAGATATAAAGTAGAAAACAACCACCCATATAAAGAACACAGTTCAACATAGATAAAAAGCAATTTAAGAAGCATAGTGTTGGCATTTGTGACAAGCAGAGTCTGGGAGGCTAGATCTGTAGGCAGCCAGAGCACTTTCTTTTCTCCTAAGAGCATTAAGTGCCCGAGTACGTGCCCTAGTTGTCCCCATAACATCTGATGAAGTTGATTTGGAAGGTTTGACTGATGCAGAATACCTAGGTATGCTCCCCCCACTACTCGTCCCTGCAATGTGCGTGACCACAAGCGGAGCATAGAATTTGAATCTATCATCACTTGAGCGCCAGAGATCCAAGTGCGGTATAAATCCCTCTGGCCTTATCAATGGCTGTCTCAGGTGTGTCAATTTCTTCCTGCTAGTTTGTATAACATTGAGAGCTTCATGAAAGATCTGCAAAATGGAGTTGTGGGTGGTGGGCGTCAACACCAGGAAGGGGGCAGGGCCAAGTTTGATGAACCTCTCAGGGATGAACATCGCAGAATCGAAAATTGTGCTACGCAACCGTTCAAAGTAGGGGGTCATAAATTTGAAGTAGGTTGAAATATGTCCGTCAAGGAAACTACAGAGGTTATCAGCCTTGCCAAATGTCGTGAATTTGTGATGCGCTGCATCTGCATGGGTATACTTGGTGTTGAATTCAGGATTGAGCCATTTCCTGATTACCTCCCACTCCATAAACACCTTGTCCTTGAATTGGTAGGGCTGCTCCAGTAGAACACACATAGCTAAAATAATGTAGTAGAAGGACTCAACATCATGATGTGCTGCGTGCTGAATGGGCTCTCCAGGTTGTGCATTCTGTATTTCTACAGCCATGAAGGGCTCTGTACCCTGAGCAAATGATAAGAATCAGTTAGTACAGGCGGTAGCTTCAAAAAAAAAAACTTACTGTGCGTTCAAGGACATGGTTTCCGTTATCCACAGCCCACCCCTGGCCCACCAAGAGCTCAAAGGTCTCGTGAGCAGTACCTCTAGCGACCTCCATTTCCCACCCTGGAACATTATGGCCATGTATTGAAGTGTTGGCAAAGGAACCTTGGGCCTGCTGGATTACGCTTTGTTGCTGTGCAACCCTTTTCAGCATGGTGTCCAACATCTTGGCCTTGCGATCATGGCGGGCAGGATCCTCCTCTTCAGAGGAAACTTCAAATAGCCCCTCATCAAATACGGCATCTTCTTTATCAAACTGAGATAGATTTGACTGAGAAAATTCCCCCTCCTTTATCTTTGGTATTGCAGCCGCAAACCCCCAATCTGCAAGCAATCCACAACGGATACACTCATGAGGAGGCCTACAATCTGCTTTGACCTGCAAGGGAGGCCAATCTGAGTTTTTTTGGTCAACAATGAGCAAATTACTTGTAGAACCATCTCGGTACAAGATCCTGACTGGAAATGTGTTGCCCACAGGGGAAAAATAGTTGATAGAGCTATATGCCATCTTGTGGCCTTGTTTTCCCATTAGCAACAAGGTATATTTATAATATTCAAAATGTTGACGCACTTGTGATATGGTCAATTGTAACAACAAGAAGCTCCTCCAAACAGTTGAAGTCTGTTATAAGAGCGCCAGCTGGAGTTGTAGTAGAACGTATATGTGCACGAAGCTGATACGGCTGATAGGGATCTGCAAGAGCCATGTTTCTCTCTTTGGCGTTGATCTCAATGGTTTCAATAGAGTCTTGTATGTTGCTTGTACAGTTGTACTGTGGAAGTGGGTGGCCATCTACTCCCTCTCTCCACTGCTTCGAAACTGGGACCTTCTCCTCGCCAATCAAACAAGGTACTCCTTTTACACCCTTGGCCTCAAGTAAATGCAAGATTGCACCCTCTGTTAAAAGTCGATGAACATCATGCCAGGTATCTTTGACGATGATATTGACGCCTAGTAAGGCAGAAAACTAAGGGGAATTAAAGCCGGCAAAGGCAGGGACTTGGGCATGACGGACAACCGTACCACATCCATAAATACTGTCCGTAATAAAGAGAATGCAATGCACTTTGAGTTCACTGAGCACTGATGTCTTGATATGCATGGGGCTAGCCGTGGCATCATACCCCATGCAAATGTCTGTGCTGTGAGCAAAACCCAAGACAACGTGTAAGAATAAAAGTGGCTGCTGATGGACGTCAATTTCAGATGTTACAATGGAACCACCTTGATCTATGTAAAGGAGAGTGAATGATGCTCCACATAAAGCAAAGCCTAAGATATGGAGCCGGCGATCTTGTGCAGCTCTGAGAAATGATGCATGTCCCATCAGCTGAAAAATTTGCCCATGGAGGGGCACTGAGTTTTTCTCCCTGTCCTTGAGCTCAGCCAGTGCGTGGACACTTCTCCAATTTGCTGGTGGAAGAGCTTTGGGATTTGTGGGGTTGTCAGAGCTAGCACTCATCAAGACTAGGTCGGGACGCTGTCTGCCACTGCCGTCTTCCACTGAACAAACTGAGTTGGCAGCGGTCCACCATCTCAAGGAGGCAGTTGCCGTGCTGGGTAATGCAGAGTAGACCTTCAGTACAATGTTGTTAAGGAATGCCGCACACTCATCCTCCAAACCTGGACTCCAAGGTTTTGTAAAGTCTGGACAGCTACTCATTGTTGTCCAGGATTTATCCTTGGTGCTGTAATAACCTGCATCATGTAACAAAACCAGCATGTTGTATAGCATGGCTTTTGTCCCATATTGACCTGTGAAAATGTGAGATAAAGGGAAAATTACTGGGAGGAAATCCTCCAGTGCACAGTACACTTTAAGGGGCGCAGCCTCTTTCTTCAAAAGAGGGTCTATAAACCTATGAAATTTTGCATCAGGCCTTTGATAGCAAACCCACTGAACTAAATAGCAAAAAGGCAAAGGCTAGGGAGTCAGCATGGGGGAGCAAAGTCAAGTGAAGTACACATTACCTTTGGATGTGTGAAAGGCGTGGTGCAGCGGAGCAGCAGCGGCTATTGGAGTAGTTTATAAGCTACCCAGACTCAATGTGATCAAAAAAGAGACTTACTGAAGCATTTAGGGATGAGGTGATGACAGATGTTGATCCAGTAGTAGACATCTCAGGGATGAAGCTGTTTCAGAAAGGCGGGTGAAAGCTAGTAAAAAAGGAAGAAGACTCATCTACTACCAGCATATTCACTATTCTGCCTTTGCCATCTCCAGAGGGAGTTCTGCATTGAGCTTAAATTAACCCGGACGTTTCCCATGTCTGTGAGAGGACAATTGGCAGTATATTCATAGAGCTTTGGCTTTGGCAGTACATCCTAGAAAGGAAAATGCTTGAGTGCACAAGCACTTCGCATATGTAGTAGTGGAGAGTTTTTGGCAGTATGTCCCAGAAAGGAAATATTTTGATTAGATTAGATTCTGGGTGTTTAACTATACAAGCAAAGCAAAGTCGGGCGCAAAAGCAGCAGGAAAAAGGTCATATTGGTCAACCAAAGCCCAATCCTCCTCCTTAGTAAAAGGCTAGCACTTCTTTCTACGTGTTTTCTCAAATATAGAGTGCCTATCTGGGAGGGTGGATCAAACTTTGCTGGAAAAGTGTGTCTTGCCATTAGGATGTGCTTTTTGTATGCGTCAGGGAAGTATGTTCACTTACATCCTGTATCTTGCCCATATCCTGCAACTTCTTGTTGTCTTCTTGCAATATGGGAATTGTTCCATGAAATTGAGCACCTTTACCAGCATTTGCTGCTTGCAATTGGTGCTCGTGCAGTATATCCCAGAAAGGAAAGTGCTCAAGCACTCGAGCACTTTCCTTTCTGGGACATACTGCCAACTGCCAACTACCAAAGCCATGAAATTGTCCGTATCCTTGACATACATACCCATGACTTGGAGCTTCTACTTCAACTGCTCAACAACAGCCCAAACCTACCACCAAACCTTGTGAATTTCCGCTCAAACTTATCTGTACTGGTCACTTATAGATCATCATCATGTTCTGTGCTATCTATTGGTCAAGGTGAACACACCAACAATCCTATCCCTCAACAGAAACTTTCTTCCTGGGCGGCAAGCCAGAATACTACCTATTCCAGCAGTGTGGACAATTTGAATGCAACAAATCTATGGGATGAGCTCCTGCGCTGGCAGTCTTCACCACAGACATCAAACTGGAACCACTCTCTTCCTGCTACAATCAATGCACCTATCAATGTCTCCCTTTCCACACCTCATTCTTCCATATTCTTGCTTCCATCACCTCTCATTGCTACCTCTTCACTGTTACAATTGACATACCAGCACCTATTTACGCTTCACTTTTGTACTTTACTTTTCATTTTCCAAGTCACATGACCAGTCATGTGACCATTTACTTTACTTTACATTTTCGACTTTTCATAGTCACATGACGACCAGTCATGTGACACAACACCTGACCAGTGTCTAGACTCATCATGTGACCGGTCACATGCTAGACATCAGACTTTAAACCTTATTTACAACTGTACAGTACCTCATGTATTTTAGTATATATACAGGAGCAATACATGGGGAAGGACTCAGCGAGTCCTCCTGTTGTATACCAACTAACTCACTGCAGCCTAAGGGGTAACCACTCCCCATCATCTTCTTTATAGTGTGTTTCTGTGTGCGCCAGAGTAAGTCACTCTTGGTTATTACACTTCACAATGTCCCATTTCTGACTTCTCACTTCCACAGGTTGATATGGGATCACCGCCTTCCCAGTGCGTACCAAGGACTCAGATGGCTACTGGTCAACATGAGATAGATAAAGCAAATTTGAACGCTACAGCACCAGTATCAGCATCAGCAACGCGCCACCATCGCTTGAAAAAAAAACAGAGTCACCACTGCAAAACTGGGGGAGAATCTTATGATGCTGCCAAGTCCCAAGCTCAATTGGCGTGTCCAAGGGGGGGTGTTGCATTTGCCCTATCACAGAGAGATGGCGGAAGTGTCTGGAGAAGACAAACAACTGCTTGGCTCAATTCTAGCGACAATATTAACGCCATTGTTGCAACTCTGGCATCTGCACACTGGGATCCAGACGTTCATAACCCCAGTGTTTGGATTGACAGTGTGAAATCGGCAATGGAGGGGAATGGATATGTGGATAAGAGCTTGGGGTCAGTGGTGCAGAGATGCAGAGGTATCAGCGGCAAGGATATTTGTGTCAATTTTCTGTTGATGATAAATTACATGCAATTGGTGACAAAATGCCAGAGGTGAGGGCCCTTGTTATTCTTATTCCACTAACATCTGATTTACGGTCTCTTCTCTAGCATTAAATTGCGTACCCAATGGTCTCTCAATGCTATCTACAATACAGAAGTTGCGCCCAGGAAAACCTAGCAAACAAACCTTTCAAGATTGGCATTTGATTGGCAGTAAATTTGCTGCAATTGCTGGAGGGGGGTCAGTCTATATACTGATCCTGGTTGCAGGACTTAGACTTAGGGTATCTATCGGTGGAATGGAGGGCTCCTTGCCTTGGGACTTGGCTAACCTCCTACAATCTCCTATCCCGGGTAAGTATAATTTGTGACAATAAAAATTGGTTGAATAACTTGTCATTCAGGATCTATGGAGGGTGATTTGATCATAAATTGTATTATGCCAACTATCAGTTGCATGCGTCATCTGTTCCCAATTAGTATGGCATCCATGTTCTCCCCATCAACACTTTCAGAGCACCAAGGTTCTGGCGAGTTTGATTGCACTGATATTGCATCTTCTGATAGATTTTTTGACTTGGTTGTCTTCAAGTGAGCATCACTCATTCATCACTATAATCCTTCATTTTTCTTACATGGCACAGCAATTTTACATTACACAATCGCAATATTCAACACTGGGCATCATGTTACAATATTACCATTGACGTCAACACTAATCCTCCTATCCCCCTCCATCAGCTTGGCTATGAGCTGCTTGCACCAATATTGTCTTTCCTGCCCAGACCATATAGCCCTCCTCTATCAGACTCACAAGACTTTTTGGATGCTGAAGATGACCCAGACCCGCCCCACTATCCAACTGAAAGGTATAGGGATGGAGAAAACAATTATATGCATAACTTATGACCAAATTATTAAGAACATGTCTAGCCACTTGCTGAGAGCAATCAGGGACTGGAACTAGAGTCCAATGTGAGTAACTTTATTATTAGAGAGTATAACAGGTATACAGTACCTAGAGTCCAATGTGAGTAACTAGAGAATAGGAAGCATTGGACTCTGCAGTACTGTCCGATGTTTTGTAAACAAAGGTAAACAAAGCAGCCACAAAGGCAAAATAATAGAGAGCACAATCAATAGTGAATGATAGAAGAATAGATAGAGAAAGGAATGAAAATATATAGGTAGCACAAAGGTGCAGAATCACCAAAACTAACACAAATTCTGCCTCAAAATAAGTGTTTTCAAGCTAAGCGTGATCATCAAGCTAATAATGTATGGACAGAGCACAAATGTGAACGTGCAGAGAAGGGTGCCCGAGTTAGAAACATAAAAGATTTGCAATCACAGGTATGTAATCAGTTTTCTACACCATTGCCCTCTAATTGTTTATTTGCGTTGCCAGCTCAATGTGCACTACAAGGAAGGAATGAAGGTATCAGATGACACCTACATTTGTATCCCTATAGATGCTATTCCCAAGTAAGTTTTCCGTAACTTTCTAATCACCGATTGCTCACTCACTTATCTGAAGTTCCTTGGTGGATATACGGAATTCTGATGAGACACTCATGGCATTCATATGTACCAATCTTCCAGCAAAAATTTGTAATTCTCTCACAGGTAACCTACTATCTGTTTTTGGGAAACCTGACCTATTGGCAGAGAAGAACACTTGAGTAGATGCTGACTCTACATTTAAAGCACTTCACTTGTCATGGTACAACCGTCACTGTACCAAGGTAAATTAATTCCTTACCATATGTCCACTTAATGCTGACCCTTTACAGGGTCGCAAAGCCCCATCTGATGTGCCACCGTCTATGCTTGACAAAGTGAGCTGCAAATGTACCAATCACAGCCAGATAATCCCCTATATATCCAAGGACATCAATAATAACCAGGAATTATTTCAGTCCCTCAAAGTTGTCTTTGAAGAACTGTTTAACTGGATATATTGTATTGTAAGTGGTACTCCCTCTTTATTCACAGCTACCTCATCATTGTATCAGATGCAAACCCACCTGCCTGAAGAGTGTCAGATGCTCGAGCAAGTTGCATCTATCTTACCAGGAAACCATTGCTCCCCAGCTGCCCCCTTCCTGTCAATTGTCATCAACATCAACGTACAAGCAAAGGCTCACCATGATAGCAAGGATCAGGAGCTTTGTCTTGTTCTCCCCATTGGAACATTTAAGGGGGCTGCTCTTGCCATGGTTGAGACAGGCCTTGTTATTGAGCTGAACCATGGGGACTTTGCAATTTTCAGGTCATCTGATATCACTCATCTCAACCTTCATTATGAAGGTAAACGTGCATTCATAGTGCTCCATACTGACCATGAATTTGTTTCTTGGGCTGCTGATAGAAATAGCTGGATGGAAAATGAAGCCATGAGGACCTTTTTATAAGTACATTATTTGATATATTGCTTTACTGTACACATTATTTTTCAGCCAAATCTCAGTGGCACTTGTCAGGTATAATTGTAATTGGCCTAGAAGGCTTGCCCTAAACTCTGCAGAAAAATAGCCACTTCTCATTTGCGCTCCATTCTCTTTTCACTTATTTCTCACAGTCTAATTTTTCAATGGCAGGCAAAAGAAATTCCAAGGGTAAATCTAAAGCTCCTGGCTCCAAGGCTAAAAATGATACAGTTACTCTGAGTACTGAGGAGTATCAGCATATTTTGGATGCTATGAATTCTGGTGTGCAATCTACCCAAGCAGCTCAAAAAGAGGCATTGGAAGCCAAACGTCAAGGTAACATATATATTCTGGTTTGGTAAAAGTATATTGATCTCCCCTCTCAGAGACAAAAAAAAGGGCAGCTGTTGTAATGGAAGAAGAGGATATTTATGACTATAATGATGACCCAGTCACACCACTAAACCCTGCTAGAAAAAGACAAGCCATGGACTCAGACCATGATTCCGATGAGGATGATTTTCAAGGGATCCTAACTCAGAAAGCACCTACAGGGGATAAAGAGTATTACAAGGATGAGGAAGCTAGAGCTGAAAGTAAGCAATCATTATTTCTAAACTAATGTTAAATTGTTACCCAAGATTTTGATGATGGGGGAAAAGATGGACCAATTCTGGATGAGCAAGTACGTCTTTAAATTAGTATCTCTTACATCCATAGAGCTAACAGCTTATATTAGCCCAATTTCAGACCCATTGTTGGGCAGGAAAAGGCTAAATCATTGGTGTACTCCTCTTCTTCTAGTTTTTCCAGAAAATCTTCCACACCTTCATCCAGGATGTCTTCAACTTCTACTTCTATCTCAACACCTATGGCTGTCTCTTTACTATCAAAAATTGGCAAAAGACGTAGAATCACCCTGGATATGTTTCCTAGTTCTCTTGTGGACCTTGCTACAGCTGGGCATGCTACAATGAGATTATATATTGCAACTCAAGAGGGTTTTCCTCCCCCAACATCACGCTACAAGTTTACTTGGAACAGACTTATTGATGCCTCCCAAGGTTGCAGAGAATTACAAACCAAGCTTTTAGAGGTTCAAAGTAATGAAGAAATGAAAACCATATTGATTGACTATGTATGTATTTCCACTCCAATAATGTTATACTAATCAAGTATCTTGTTGCTAGGTTTGGTCTGCTGTTGCCCAGGTCCGAGGAGAAATTGTTGCCAAAGCACGCATCATAATCAATGGTGCTTATCAAATTCCCGGTGATATGGCCCCAGTTCAAATCAAGCAGGCTGTAATGTGGCTTTTAGAAACTGGTGCATTTGCTGATGGTGATCTTGATATCAAAGTGAGCTATCATTCTCCCATATTTACGCTAAATTGAACTATTTCTTCAAGGCCAGGACATTCAACAAGCAAAAGCCATTTTGTCATCAGATTTTCAAGGACTTGATTCATAATCAATGGTATGGGCATAAGGGTGAGGGAGTACGCTATCCTGAAAATTTCAAAGACATTCCTTTAGCTCTACTTGCAATTACCACAGCAGCTGTATGTCCTCAATCTGTGGTCTGTATTATATATTTATTCTATTTTCTTTTCAGATTGAATGTTCCCTCAGGGGATACGCAAATGGTAATAAAGCTACCCAAGAATTCTCAGAGAGTGTTTTCAAAACCAGGTACAATATCATTTATTTATGTCAAACTTGGTTTTTATTTTATTTAAAGGTGGGAGTACTATTTCAAAAAGCTTCGGTGCTTCAGAAGAAAAGCCCTGTGTGGATGAAGCAAATGAGAGATGGTCTGTACCAGGATATTCTGTAAGTACCAGTATTTTGGCTGCTACCACCGTCACTAATTTTACTATAACAGAAATCTGGCCAATCTCCATTATCTAGGGATTGATGAAGACCAGATGAAGGACGAGGATTTTGGTATTGATTTTGAAGTTCTAGAGGATACTATCATTGCACAAGCTGCTTGATAGTATTTGTAGTCACTCTCCTATTTACTGTTGCATATAGTACAATTGCTAGTACAAAATATGACTGCGCTGTTTTCATTTCATTATTTGGTAATTGAATGCAATACATGCTATGAGTGCTATAGGTACTATGGATGTTCTAATTGAAATAAGTGCTATGGCTACTCCAAATGCCATTATAGTATTAGCATTACTATGTGTGTGCTATAAGTGCTATAAGTGCTATAATTCAGAACTATAGCCAACTATGAGATCACTATAAGAGCACATTGTGCCTAAATAGGGTTTCTCTTACAGCTATGATCACTATGACAGCTATTTTTGCAATTATAGTACTATAAGAGCCTATATAGCCAAAGTGTTTTTCCTGATGCCAGCAAGTTGTGACCTTGCTGGAAAGGCAATAATATGAATGTGGGAGTGATAATATGAGCTGAGGATGAATATAGAGTGGAGAATACAACACTAGAATGACTCCTGAGAGTCCACGTTTTGGGTCTATACAAGCAGAGCATCACAACAAGCTCAGCGCTTTGTTGGAAATCTTGGTAAATATGGCTGTGGGACATCTACAATGATTCTGAAGCGACTATGGCAACTTATTTAGACAAATTCTAAGTATGGGGGACCAAAAAGATAGATTTCTTTTCTTTTGGAAGTACAGTTTTATAGCAGTACCAAAAAGGAAATAGCAAAAATAGCGTAAAACATATGAGAACCAATGGGAAAAATGAAGGATAAACATTAGAAAGTGTCCATATAAAAATGTAAGAAAAAGCGGGTCATATCCTGCTAGTTCGACGTCCAGACAGTTCCATACCATGAGGGACAACTCCTATATTCCATAAAAGGAAAGGGGTAGTTGATCCGTGAACAGTCGTAATGCTCTGGAGTCTATGTGGAGTCTTGCACGTGCGTGGAGTGTTGAGTTAGCTCCTCATCCAACGGGTCCGAAATCCGAAAAGTGCGGACCCTATATGTCCGCAAATGCGGACTCTATGTATCCGCAAACATGGACTCTGCGGACTGTTGCATATTAATGCATGGTTTGTTGTAGAACTGGATTGATATGTTGGGAAATAAAGGGATTATTGTGCCAGCGTCTAAGTCAACTCTACAATGCTCCAAAGGAGACGCTGATACAGCGGTGGTATTTTTATCATTAACTCCTTCATCTTTTTGACATCCTGAATCAGCGCTCAAAGCTGCTATATCATCAGGAGTGTCCATGAAAAATTCACAGTCACAGCTTCGCCTACAAGTACATACTTCTGATAACAAATTAAAAAATCTATTTACAAATTGGCGAGCCACCCCCGTCTTTCCTTTATTGCTCATGCAACACCCCGGAGCAGGGGCCACTTTATTGTGGTTTACTTCATTGTCCATAGGAGCAAAGGCACCCAAGTGACCTAAGCTCTGAACTCTTTTCCCTGAGTCTTCATTTCAGCAACCTGTTGGTCATAAAAAAAGGCCCAGATTTTGTCGTACAAACGACCGGCCAGAGTATTGAGCCAATCATCCGGTTTCTCCGCTTCTAATTGGCGCACCTGGTGCCCTTGGTTATTTTTTTGTTGAGCGGCCCGCGCTCCATTTGTACACTTTTGGGATATGTGCCCCTCCTCGCCACAGTTGTAGCAGGTGAATCTGTGCATCTGTCCGCCCTGGACCGTGCCGATATCCATTGGGGTTCCCCGCCCTGGTTGGAACCCGTGAGAGTGATTTGATTTTTTGTTTGATGACCCAGGGCTTCTCTGGGAATAGTTGTTTTTGGTGATCACCTGCCACCTTGATGCATTTTGTAGAGCTCTATGGCCCTACCTATTTTTTGAACCTCCTCTGCTGCTTGAGAGAGGTTATCGCTCCTCATATCCTGTAGGTAGAGCTGTTCTGCAATCAATGTGAGGGTTTACATTGCGTTCCAGCAGCTCTACTGCATGTTCATGTCCTAGACCCCCTTAGATAGAGAGGGCCAGGAACTGGGTTACGAAGTCATCTGTCCTCATATTTCCTTGCTTGAAGGTACGGATTTGCTGACACGCCCAGTCACGCTCAGCTTGCGGTTTAAAATATTTTTTGACCTCAACTTTGAGATTGTCCCAAGTAGGCCACACACCCACATCAGGAAAAACCCAGTTGCCTTTTATAGCTATCATAGCCACCATAGTGCTATATAGGGAAAATAGTAGCTATAGTACGCCTAGACAAGTCCCTATTATATAGCTCTATATAGCAGCACTATTTTGAGCCGTTTGCTATGCTTGCTATAGTAGCACATTTGTGATATACATTGTTGCCTTTACTATGGCTGCTTTTATAGAGTATAAGAGATATCATAATTCTGGATTCTTGTTTCAAATCAATTATACTAAATTTACTTTTGTTATAGCATATAGCAAACTGTCAGAATTTATTCCTAATACTATTGTATGACATGCATAGAGTAAACTACTGTAATGAAGTGAGCCCCCACAAACTAGAAAATCCTCTCAACTTCCTGTTTGGTCTTAAGATACTCATACTGTTCACTATGGACGACATTTAATATTATTGTATAAATACACTTTGACAATACTCACAGAATTTCATGAATAACTTGATAAGTTTTCTTTATAGTTTGTCAAGCCTTGATGGATAGTGCAAGCATCTGGTAAGTGATTATAAGTATACATATAGATATAAATGGAGGAATGTACTTTGGCTTGTTAACCTATTCACACCTATTCAGAAAAAGATAAGGTGGTCAAACACACTTTGGAGTAGTTGTAACATACCTTAGTGATAATTGAAGCAATAGTGTATGCTACTACTACCAGCTGATGGTGTGGTGGTGGGATATGTTGGGTATTGATATAGCACTGGTGCCAGTGGCCATTGTGAATAGAGCAGAGCTAATTTCAGTACCTTATAAGATAGTTATTAGAAAAAAACTATACCTAGAGCTAACAGCATATTTAACAAGTATGCTATAAGCTCAATGTTATTGCAACTTAAAAGGATGTGCAGGACTTTGAAGCACAATGGTGTACCATGGTGATGTGACATGTAACATCACACCAGTGCCACGTATGTATCAAGAGCTGACTCTGAAAAAAATGTGGCACTCAAATTTAATCTAATCCTGAGAAGCGTGTGAAAATGGACAGTGTCACTGTCCATTTTCACACACTCAATTATAGTGTTCAAGGTCAACTGCTGGAAAATTTGCTTTGGTGCCACATATTCAAACTCCGCTTAAATTCATCCTTGTGCGTCAAGCAAGACACTTCAACTTTGATGCAATATCAATAGTGTTCTCTAGTACCAGTACAATTGAATATTTTGGATATTTGTGATAGATTTTTTTAATAAAACCATTAGGCTAAATTACCTGCATACCAAACCATTGTATGAATAATAGGGGCATTCTCATCAGCACCAGAAAAATGTCTCATAGAAATTAACAAGCTATTATAGCTTCTATAGCTGCTATAGCCCATATAGCATCTATCATAGCAATGCCTGGTTGCTGAAATGTATAGATAATATTTGGGACATATGTAATAGACTTCCATTACATAAATAACCAGGCTAACACACATGCCAAACCACTTAGTGAGTAATAATGGTGTTTCCATCATAATCAGAATGATATTCACAAAGATAGAAACAAGCTATTATAGCTACCATAGCAGCTATGCTATTTATTATAGAAAAAACTTGATTATTATAGTAATGCTATAGTTGTCATAGAAGCCATAGAAACATGCTTGGCTATATAGCAAAATGGTTTTTCCTGATGCACGGTGTAGCACTCCTGAAGTCTGACTTGGGCGTATTAACCCACCACAGGTCCTTTTAGTCGAGATAGTATTGCAGTTGCTACCTCAAAGTCAGCAAACACATCCCAGTTTGCCTTGACCCAAATTTGGAGTTTGATCCACCATTTAGCAAATCACGCTTTATCTCCTTCGAAGGCGCCAGGGTCAGCGACGACTTCGACTTTCTTGTTGAATTTCTTCTCAACCGAGGGGGCTGCTGCAGGGGGGTTTGCCTGGAGCTTGGCAAGTTGCATAGTTAACGCCAAAATCTGTGCATGCATGTTGTGCAACAGAGTGTTGACGTCAGGAGTTTGCGACGACATGTCAACTTGTTCTCTTTGGTAATGTAAAAAAACATAACTGGTGGTCCCCACTTGCTATCTGCGGCTCTACCTCTTCCCAGCTGAGTATTGGATCTCAATCTCTACCCACATTATAGTATTTGAAAATGTATATAAAAGGTAAATGTAATAAACCCTGGTCCAAATGGTTGTTAGGGGGTGGTCCGCTTGTTAAGCTGTCAACCCTTCTCCAGACTGGCGGAGGCAAGTGCCTGGCCTGGTCAGAGGAAAGAGAAAGAGAAGATTTGTATGTAAATTCTAATCAACAATAGTTCCACACTATTGCTGAGCTAAAGTACTCCCCTTAACACTGGGGGCCGTGTATCAAAAAAATAATTGTCCTTTCTCCCAGAGCACTATGGGGCCGTCGCTAGGAGCGCACCCTTCTGCTATATGGGATATCCCTAAGCGATAACCCCTTCACCCTGGGGACCGGGTTTGCACAACGTGCGAGAGAGTAGTAAGAGCAAGTCCTAATGTAACAACCAAGAGTTTGTTACTCTGGCGCACAACTCAGACAAGCTATAGAGAGGATGATGAGGGAGTGGTTACCCTTTAGGCTTCAACAAGTCAGTTGTGAGGATACAACAGGAGGACTCACTGAGGAGTCTCCTTGATCTATTGGGGTATATATACTACTATAGGTTTATTTGTACATATGTACTATACAGTTGATGAAGGCAGTGGCTGATGATGTCATGGGCACAGCCCGTGTGACCAGCTCCACTGCGTGAGATACTTATAGCTAAAATAAGAAGGAAGGCAGCTGTAACAACTAAGAGTTAGTTACTCTGGTGCACAACTAGAACAAACTATAAAGGTAGTGATGAGGGAGTGGTTACCCCTTAGGTAGGACCGAGTTAGTTGTGGGTAAACAACAGGAGGACTTGCTGAAGAGTCTCCTGGATCTATTGAGGTATATATACTACTACAGGTTGTTTGTACATGTTGTGCTATACAGTTGATAAAGCAGAGGCTGATGATGTCAGAGGGCACAGCCTATGTGACCAGCTCTACTGCGTGAGAGACTTGTAGCTAAAATAAGAATAATGGTAGTGTAGCGCGAGAAGGTGGAGTTTGAACAAAATGGAAAGTGCCGCATGGCACAATGTGTGAAAACTACAGTATAAATTTTAAAGAGGAGAATGAAAAATCAAGGTCCGAAAATTGTGTATCGTAACATCCACCTCCCGCCCCAAACTTCTATTCAAAACTTTACTGGATAATGACTTGCTTCTTGCGCAACTCGCAACCTGCCATCACTATGGCTGTACTTGCTATAGCATTACAACTCCACATTGCCTGGGACCATGCTGACAACTCCACCTCACACCATTTGCACCATATATACAGGTAATGGAGAGCAAGGCCAGAAATTCACAGATGATATTGATGGAAGTATGATACCTACCCATTCATAGCTCATGGGATGGATACCTATCCATCTCTCCGACAGCATTCCAGCAGATTGTGGCTGAAAAAAACAAAAAAACAAAATTCGGGAAAAACAGAGTTCCCTTACAAGCCCCTAGTCCCTCCCTTTAAGTAGCAGCAGTCCTTTGTAAATTTATCTCACTTTCTCTCAAATTTTATGACCCCACAGTGTTCATTGAGGGGTTCCTTTGTCCTATTTTTTTTTAAGCCAGGAGAGAGTGTGAGGAATAAAGTTATGCTGGGTTTGAAATTTATGTTCACGTGATAACCTATTAATAATACTAACTCCCTCCCACTGCGGGCATTGGCTTATTTAATCCCAGCTTATATCCTGAAAACATTCAATTTTAGCTTTTTCTAGCCAATCAGAACCCAGAACTCCCATATTTTCAGGATATAAGCTGAGCTTAAATAAGCCAATGCCCACAGTGTCCCTAGCAATTACCTGATGCACCAGTTTCGCGCCATGTAGTTTGCAAGAAAGCACGATCCAGAACGGGCCCTAAGTTACTAAGTAAGTCAGCTTCGAAAAAAATCCAGGATAACGGTAGTTTTAAAATTTCTATCGAATGACGTCGAATATTGATATCGTTTGATATAAATTTCGTCGTTTCTTACTGGGCCTCAACACCGGTTAAAGCTCGCCATCAGCGGCAGACCTTCAGAAGGAAGATCTTTTTAGAGGAGACTACTCAGAACAGGCAAATCAAAATATAGCCCCCCTTGCGACAGTATATGAGTATATGAAGGTCTAGGACCTACACATTCATACGGGAAAATTACAACAATATGGACAACGTCCTAAATCGTGTCAGCGTCAGCATTGGCGCCCTCGAGCTTCGTTCTATCCGCACACTCGATGTTACCGTCGTCTCCTTGACTGTGTGGGCTCTATTCAGGTTCATCAAGGCAACTCGAGCGCAAGGAGTCACGACCACACGATTGAGGGGACCTCCAAATGAAAGTTTAGTTTTTGGTAATGGACGGGTATTGGACAAATCACCAGATTCTGGACAAATCTATGAGGACTGGGCTGAGGAGTATGGTGTGGCCTACAGGGTTCCCTCAACATTGGGGAAGTCACGCATAGTCCTGTGTGATCCTAAAGCGATATCGCATTATTATCCGAGGGAGACGTCCGTTTATATCCTCACGCCCGTCAGCAGAATTGCGATTGAAATACTAGTAAGATTTATATGATTGGAATGTCGTCATTAAACTGACAACTTATTATCACCTGAAGGCTGGCAAAGGTCTGTTGTGGTCTCATGGCGAAAGCCATAAAAGGTATGTGTCCTGTCCTTTTTGAAAGAGAAATGTACAGGTTCTAAAGCTTATGACTTGATTTAGACAACGAAAGTCCTTAACACTCGGGTTTAGCAATACTGCTATTCGAAAGCTTACATCAGTTTTTTTTGACTCGGCATACAAGGTATTTACGCTGTCAGTAACATAACTCTCACCTTTGACCACGGCAATTTATTTAGGCCAAAACTGCATGGGACGCTATATTAGAGTCAAATCCAGGTGGTAGCACAGTGATTGACGTACAAAACTGGTGAGTGACATAGTTGTATTCTATGACTTCATGACTGAAAGCGAAGATTTGCTTAAGGATGAACAATATTTCGTGGGTCACGATGCTCCCTCATATTTACACGTGACAACCGTTTCAAACCACTTGAAGGATTGACACCATTGGGATCGCAGGGTTTTCACATGACTTTGGATCTTTGGAGGGAAAGCGTTCTGCCGTTGTTGACGCTTTCGAGGAACTAAACTCCGCCAAACCGTCAACCTTGTCCACTTTCTTTTTCTTGCTCGCTCCTATGTTCCCTTGGTTAATCAAGCTGCCCAACTCGCGCGGCATGATCGTGCGCAAGCTCAATCGTGCCATAGGCGAGATATCAAAAGTACTCTTGGAGCATTCTCGGCAAGATATGCAGGGCGGTGCCAGTGAAAGCGACCAAGACAAATCGATCATCGGATTGCTGAGTGCGCCGTACTTTTTACGCTCATTCAGAGGTATCATTGACATGATTTGACGCAGTTAAATCCGAGGATGAAAATTCCGCTTTACACGTAACTCCAGAAGAGGTCATGGCTCAGGTAAACTGCCTGGTTTGAGCCACACTTTCAGTGCTGAAGAATGGACCTTTTATAGATGAAGCTTTTACTTATTGCTGGCTATGAAACTACTTCGAGTACGTCCACTCTCAATTTATTTGACTATTCCTGTCTAAATATGATTATCTATCAAGTCAGTTTGACGGTGAGCAGTGTGTTGGGATCAATGTCATACATACCCTGAATGAGTGTTTTCAGTGGGCTCTGATTGAATTATCGTATAATAAAGAAGCGCAAAGGCGGCTGAGAGAAGAACTACAACAGTTTTCTACGGACGACCCGAACTGGGAACAACTAAATAACGGACTGCCCTACCTGGATGGGGTAGTGCACGAAACGCTTCGTCTTCATCCTCCAATTTCCCAGTCGACACGCCTTGTATGTTCACACCGGCAAAAGGCCTGTTGACGTTGACTTACTAACGAGGCTTATAGGTAGCTGAAGATGACGTGATCCCACTCAGCGTTCCTGTTCAAACTGCCTCTGGCGAAGTTGTCGACCATCTTACTATTGCCAAAGGTACAATTCTCACGATTCCTATTCGATGCGTCAATCGTTCGGTTGATTTCTGGGGCCCCGACGCGAAAGAGTTCAATCCTGACCGGTGGCTCGATGATGGCGGGATATCGGGCAAGGCAAAGGATCTTCAAGGTCATCGTCATTTGCTCACGTTCGCAGATGGACCACGGACATGTCTTGGGAAGGGATTCGCATTAACAGAATTCAAGGTGAGATTTCTTTATTTCTTGAAGTCCTATTCGGCTTGGCTGACGGTTTCCTCGACGTGCCATCAGGCTGTTTTGTCCGTGCTTATAAGAAGCTTTGCATTTGAGCTACGTGACGGACCTGATACAAAAATTGAGCGCGCCAAGGGTCTGTCACCCCGTCCGAGAGTCGCTGGGGAACAGGGATGCCGGGTGCCACTTCTCGTTCGACAAGTAGAGTAGTGATATGGATTGATAGGCAAAGAATCTGGGACACAATTTTTCTTGGTTGTGGCTTACACTTCGGTGCTGTGTATATACATTGGAAAGCCTTATTTTATCTCTCGTTGCGTTCTAATCTACAACTTGGCGAGGAGGGATATCCCTCATGAGACTCAAAAGGAAGACACTAAGGACGCAGCATGAGATAGCGTAGACCACGAGACCGCCGCGGCGTTTCAATCGGAGTAAAAATGCAGGGTATGGACCTCGTTTGTCTCTGTCGTCCGTCCATCAAGAAAAGGGCAGGGACCTCCAGAGGCTCTGCTAGGGGAAATCGTGAGTCACTGCATTTTGGCGTCAGTTGTGTCTCGAGCTTATCGGGTTACAATGGATCTATCTCATATACCATGTATTGGAAAAGATCTTGCGAGGATACTACCTGTGCTCAAGGTAAGACATCGCAGAGGCATTGCCAACCCGCCGAATGTACAGTTCCGCCCCGATCTCGGTCACCAAGACAAACGAGATACCTAACTTCGAGGCGACACAGCATGAACAAGCAAAAGTCTTGTCGCAGGAGTGTGCCATCCACCCTTTGAACAAAGAGGTACAGAGCCAGATGGAGCAATCGTTGAAACGTTCTGTAACGCTCATTATCTGGTACAAGGTTAGTTGATCGACAGTAAATGATGTCCTGTTATGTCATCCCAATTTTGGTTACAGGCTCATTGTGACCCTATCCGTTTGAACCATGATGTTTCTACTTTTCCCTTGTTTCAACTCTCCCACTACCCTTCTCTTGTATCGGACTTGGAACTCTCGCCCCATTCATATATCGATACGTTCAACAGTCAGACCTCCCATTGGGAGCAACATTTGATGACGACCGTACGAGTTATAGACAGAGACCAGAGGCTCCTCTACAAGATCAGGAAGAGCTTGATGAACGGATTTGCAGAAGACGAATGTCCAGGCTTAAAGGACGAAGTAGCCATGCAATCAAGATCCACCCAGGGATCCCCCCTGGGAACATCATCAGCTTCGAGCCCTTCGAATCCCCTCAAAAGGCCTGCAGAGGATATACCAGAGACAGCTCCTCCCCACAAGATGTGCATCACCGAAGGTTATCTCACCCAACCTTCTTATCTTGCCAATATGAATCATATCAGCATGCTTCCAAACTCAGGGTATCCTCAAGACTTGTCTCAACCTGTTGCTTCTTCAAGCTCGAGCCGCTCGCCGAAGGTTGAGTCGCCGGCTAATTCCACAGCTTATTACCATAACTCGTTGATTTCACCAGGGAAGGGGCTGCCGCCTGGTGAACCGGGTTCCCTCCCCGCTCATTTCTCACTTTCAGCCAATAACTCGACCTCTATCCCATATCACCCACATCCACCCCTGAAGCGTTGGCCAAACGACTATTCTGTGTCTGAGGTTGCTGTTGGCTTCCGCCAGATGGATAGTCTGATTTCACAGACGCCCACAGTCACTCAGAAGGCTGCTTTCGAGCGCGTTTTTGGCTGTAGGTACGTCAAGTCAACGGTGTGTCGCCATCGGGGTGTGTGGAGACGCGCGGATATCCCTATAAAAAACCTGTACGAGGCTATGGGAACAGACGAAAGGGCCGTTTGGGGTGAATTTGTGAGAAGAGTAGAAGGAAGGCCTCCTGGCAAGGCGGGTCATTTGGAGGAAGCGATGGGACATCCCATGAATCCAAGAACAATGCAGTCAGCGACTTCAACTTCTGCCAATAACGATCAACGCTCACCACGGCAGAGAGAATCGGGAGAGGAGCAGTTAGTTGGGTGTTTGGGTCGTCCCCCTGACGTGGATGTCCACCCGAATATACAGTCCAAAGGCGAATCTAATGGCATGCCGCCTAATCACGGCGTCGTCGATGGTGAGTAATGCTTGTTCATTCTTGTACATATGGCTGATTAAGGCGGGCAGCAGTATGCATCCCCGTGTACGATCCCAGTCCGGCCGGGGCTGATCCTGATCCTAGTCCTCAAGTGTCCAGATGATATACAGATCTGTTACTCTAGAATTCAATATTAATACATCTTACACATTTATCGTATTATCTGTCATGATAACGTCTACCAAAGACCATGGCTTACTACTACAGCTCTTACTACTTTGCTTACTACGAAGTTAACGTATTCATGCTGTGATTTTAATCACGTGGTCAATATAAGAGGCGTGCATGAAAAATCCTAACAAGCGCCTATAATATAAGTATCCTGTCAGCGACCATTTCGGTACCACACGTCGGTTCCTCGTTCCATCACCATCCTGCATATTGAGTCTTTCAATATCTCATTTGTGTTAAACACCATGTTGTCAATCATGGAAGATGAAGAAGTAGACGCACCAAGCACTCAATCTCAACCTGAAGCTTCAAGTTTAGCTGCGACAAGACGCTTCAAGGACCCTATCCACGATTACAGTGAGCACGCCTCGGTCGGCAATGCAATATCTAATGATCGCTCTTTATGCAGTATCTTTCAGCCCTCTTGTGTGCGATGTTATCGATACGTACGTGGATTTTTATCGAACTCGTATAACAACACGCCGCATAGCCTGTATACTGTGATCCATGAGCCTGATACGACGTAGCTCACATATTTTCAACAGGAAACATTTTCAAAGGCTCAGACTCATCAAGCAGCTTGGAGTATCGTACTACGTCTGGCCGGGTGCATCTCACAATCGTTTTGAACACTGCCTGGGTACGTATATCCAACCATTCTTTCCTTCCTCACGCTGACAGCATGTATGTTACGTAAATAGGTGTCGGACATCTTGCTCGAAGGATGGTTGAGCATATCAAATCGTCTCAACCCAGCCTTGGCATTAACGACCACCACATCAAGTGCATAGAGTTAGCTGGATTGTGTCACGATCTGGGACATGGCCCATGGAGTCATGTGTGGGATGGATTGTTCATTCCAAAAGCATTGTGAGTATGTGTCGTCTTACCTTATATATCTATCTTTATCATATGTGTCACTATTTAGGAATGGAAAACGTTGGAAACACGAAGATGCCTCCGAACTCATGTTCGACCACATGATCAAGGAATACCGTCTGAAGATCACTCCCAAAGAGGCGACTTTCATCAAAGCACTCATTGCTGGTGATACAACGCGCTGCGAGTACGTCTAAGCATACTTTTTATCATCTCCTGCTCACTAGCACCACCAGGGAGGGCAAAGACTTTCCATTTTTATTCGAAATTGTAGCCAACAAGCGTAATGGGATCGACGTTGACAAGTATGTCTATATATGCGTTGTATATGATCAGTTTTTTAACGCTTTCACGTCATAGATTTGATTACATCGCTCGTGATTGCCATGCGATTGGAGAGAAGGGGAATCTGTCTCTTACTAGGTAACTGACACTTACGTTGGTATTTTTCTGACCTTGACCATTTCCCAGACTCATACACTCAGCACGCGTGATCAACAACCAAATATGCTATGGTATAAAAGATGCAGAACAGATCTATGAGCTCTGTTATACCCGCTTCAGTCTTCACAAGCGTATCTACAATCACAAAACTGGTATGCATAATCGTCCAGGGCAGGTTATAAGCTAATTTACATGAATAACAGCTAAAGCCATTGAATATATGGTCATCGATGCTCTTCTTGCTGCAGAACCAATCATGAAATTCGCGGAGCAAATTGACAAGCCAGACAGATACGTATTTTTGACAGACGATATTCTGTCTCGTATCGAAATGACCACCGACGAGGTAAGTCGATTGGTGCTCCTTCCTACCTCTCCAATGGTCGTTTATACATCTTTACTCCAGGAACTTCAACCATCCCGTGATATCATCGAACGCATCCGTACTAGAGACCTATACAAGCTGGTGGACTTCAAGGTGTTTTCTTGGGAGTTCAGGAATCGGTGTCAAGAATATATCACCCCCGAACGCATCGTAGAGGCAGCCCATTTCTCACCTCCCCCGGGTGCTGATAAACTAGATCTGGAAGAACTTACTCCTGAAGACATTATCGTCAATCTTAGCCCTATGCACTATGGCATGCAGGAGAGGAACCCTCTCGATTTCGTCAGGTTCTACTCCAAGCGCAACCCCAATAGTACGCATGAGACCTCCTTTTATGTTTGACATCGCATTTAAACTCTATATGAAATAGTTTGCCGGCCAGCTGAGCCTGGTGACATATCTCTTCTTATGCCATCTTCTTTCGCCGAGGTCCTTCTGCGAATATATACGAAAGAAGAACGTTTCGTTGGCATTGTTCAAGCGGCGTATCGTGAAATCTTAATGACGTTACCGGATCATGTTCCTCAGTCGCCTTTACGACCTGCTCAAGATGCTCCAACCGCAACACTCACACCACCAGCTACGGAGGCACCGTCTACACCACGCGCACTTTCCCGTAATGTTAGTCTCAGTCAGATTGGCGTGACACCGTTTTCCAATAACGAATTTACCACTGTGCCTCCGAACTTCCATCCCACTTCTCCCGAGCGCGGAACCAAGAAACCAAGGAGTAAAAGAGGAAGGGATACGAGCGGGATGACTGATACTGGCAGCCCTCCTCGGAAAAGGAGAGCATAATGGATACAAAGCAGCAAACCCTGCAATCAATTACAGTAGTACATAATGACTTCCTCTTTCATCTAACTACTATACCCTCTAATTCGCTGTCGATAGGCTATGCGCAGATTTCCATTTTTACACTTTTGTATCAAATTAGCGTGTTTCGCTGGCACTACCTGGGAGACACATACCTTTTAAATTAGCCAGTAATAGATATCATATGTTTTTCGCAATTATACGCTCATCTTCATCGCGATGCTCGGGTGCGGCTCATATCCCTCGACAACAATATCTTCAGAGTCGAATTTGTCAATGTCTTCTACATTTCTTCGCCAACGTAGTTTTGGAAACGGTTTTGGTTCTCTGGTAAGCTGTATTTCGAGCGCTTGAACGTGGTCCTTGTAAACGTGAGCATCTCCGAGCTGAATGATCAGCTCGTGCGGTTCTGTACCAGTTACGTGAGCCACCATGTGCGTGAGCAGCGCATATGAGGCAATGTTAAAAGGTATCCCAAGTCCAAGGTCCGCAGAACGCTGATACATCAGACAAGAAAGCCTGGGTTTCGCAGAGGATGAAGACGGGAGGTGGACATAGAACTGGCACATCATATGGCAAGGTGGCAGAGCCATCAAGGGTATATCTACGTGACATCGTGAATATATATATATGGCAGGGTAAGGGGGGTAAGGGTATCGTTACCTGCAGGGTTCCATGCGCTGAGAATTATCCGCCGATCAGTAGGATCTTCCTTGATCTTCCTGATACATTCCTTCAACTGGTCGATTCCTCTTCCAGTATAGTCCGTGTCACAGTCAACGTATTTGGCACCGAAATGCCGCCATTGGAATCCGTACACAGGACCCAAGTCGCCCTCCTGTCGATATCCTAGCCCTCTCTTCTCCAAGAACTCCTTGGAACCATTGCCGTCCCAGATCTTGATTCCCTTCTGTGATAACAGCTTTGCATCCGTTGCACCACGTACAAACCATAGTAGTTCCTCGACTATTCCGCGAAGAAATGTTCGTTTTGTGGTAAGAAGTGGAAGTGTCGCGTCTGCGAGGGAGAAACGGAGAGAGGGTGGTGCGAAGATGGAACAAGTGCCTGTTCCTGTGCGATCTGGACGCGATTCTCCAGAGTCAATTACGCGTCGGACAAGATTTAAGTATTGGTACTCGTCGTGGTCTGGCTGAGGGACGGTTGCACTGACCATGATGACTAGAGGAAGGGAGGAGATGAGATATGTTTCGCCATGAAACAAACGCGTGCAGTCACACCCCACACGTGACGTTACAGCCCCTATTCGCCAAACTTGTGTTTGAATATACTTGTTTTTATTCAAAGTGCAGCAGCGCTATGATAAAATGCATTCTAGCACCGAACATTCACTCGAAATCTGACTGAGATTTTCAAATGATCTAGTTTTTGACATAATCTGAGTTTCTTTCGCAGTGACCACACTGTGACTACTGCCAAATCAAGAATGCATGTCTATATTTGGTCGTCCTATTTGTCCTTACTCCACGACCAAAAATAAAAAGCTGTGGAACACAAGGCTAATCTGACGTTTCGCATGTATATACATGTTTGAATCCTGCAGGCCTATACAGCAACTTGTATTATCAGTAATAAAGACTCGCTCTCTCCCATGTCTTCCTAGACGACTACAAACTACTATTTCTCCATCCGGTCCTAACGCAGGCAGCGTTTCAAGGCGTTCGGTCTTCAAACATAGTCGTAACGAAATCGCAAAGATCAATGGACTGCTCATTCGTACCCGCAAACTTCTCAGTTCCAAGGAGGACCATGACGTGGAGAATTACATATTAAGGAATTTGGAAAACAGAGCCCAATTCTACAATTCATCTCGCCATCTTGCGTTCCACCGCATCATCGACTTCCTTCTTCGTCGTCGCCTCTTTCAACCCGCGAGTGTTATATATGACCGAATGATCCATGAGGGCTTTATTCCTCCTAATTCCATTCGTATCAAGATGACGGTCATCTCTATGATGTCAACAGCGACGGACAAAGAGACACTCATAGCCTCGCTCATGCAAATTTTTAGAGATAATTCTGTTGAAATTCCTGATTTCATGGAACTCATCGACTTTGCTTCCAACGATAAGAAGGCACCCATAGACGAAGTGGACGCTCTAGCCAGAGCCTACTTTGATGCTCGTGGGTTAACCGTCAATCTTCCAGCTGATGTGGTTGGCGATTTGGTTACCGCAAATGTGCACGAAGGGCGCATGGATACCGCTCAGGAGTGGCTGGAGAAGTTCGAGGAAAGATGCAGCGTAGATGGCAAGCAACCTACAGCCGCCCCATATGCTGCGTTCTTGAACGCAGCTAAAGACCTCGATCCATATAACACTGCCGCATTCGAGACAATCTTGGATCGGATGAAAATAGAAGGCGTAGTGCCCGATATCCACGTTTTCAACGCACTCATCACCGCACACTGCATTCGCAAGCACTACGCAGCAGCATTTGCCGTTTACCGCATCTTGATAGAGAAGCCTTCGATGTATCCGACGCCTAACGATATAACATACAAGACGTTGGTTAGAGCCACGAAGTGCGTCAGTTTACAACGTGCCTCTCGCTCCAGGAGGCTTAAGCCTCCGTCCAATATGGTTCCAGTTCGACAACTGTACCATGATATGCTCAAGTGCCATATCAAGCAAACCAGTGGGCGTATATCCAAATCGTCGGATATCATATCACCTTCCATCCTTCAGTTCTCTCTCCGGACATTTTTGGATATCAGAGATTACGCCGGGGCCATTATCGTGTTGAACTCCATGGATATGCTAGGCTATCGCCCAAACATAGAAACATATTTCCTAGTACTAAAACATTTCTTGGAACGCATGAAAACCGAATTAGGTCGGAAGTATCCGGAGAACGAGCAATATTGGACCAAAGTGATCCTGAAGATGGGGACTGAAGGTGCGATGAATAGTCCGGGGTCTCGTAAAGCACAGCCCTCGATTGGCCCGCAAACAGTTGCTTTTCTAATGCGACTCGGAGAACCTAGACGTCTGGCAAGGGATATCTCTGAGGATGACCCTCAGAATATGTCGGACATCAGTCAGAGCTCGACCTCGAACACATATAAATATCCTTCATCTACATCACGTTTTCGCCTCCCTCGTTCGTATAGAGTACCCACCATGCGCATGCTCTTAGGGAAAGAACTTGTACTTCCATCCATCCGTTTCTCTACCGTACCATTGGTACGAATAATTCGCAAAGCCCTTATGGCTTCTCTCATTACGAAAGTCAAACCTGAAGACAGTGATCAGTCACAGGAAGACGTTCTAGTATCGATAATGACCAGCGCCAAACGTGATATGGTCCCATCTTTACCTGAAGGCACTGAAGGCATTTATTCACGTCCTGAACCTGACAAAAGAAAATGGTCTTCTTCCCGGGCAGTACATGTATTTCCTAATGGGACGGACAAGCTTAAAAGAGGCGTTAGTGCATTACCTTCTTGTTTATAAACCTACTGATAGAATTCGTGGTTCCCATCAGTCTGGCTGAAGTAGCTCCAGCCACTGGAAGCCTGCGCATTCAAGCTGTAACCATCTCCCTGCTCAACTGCGGCTGCCTGGCGTTTTATCGAAGGCCACTGTAGTTGGGAGTTTAACCATAGCCTGTGTGCAACACACGTGAGTTCGAGGATGTTGTTGCAGTGGACTTTTCATACAACGACTGACAACACACTGTGTTAATTTATATAACAATAGTCCATTATCATATACTTTTTACTATTTTTTTAGGAATGAATAATACAGGGGCCATTTGAGGAATCTTGGAAGATCTAATGTACCCTTTCCTGAGCTGCTTGTTTATAAAACTCAAAACCTCCTCTCTTTCTTGGGTAGAGGGGAGCTATATGTCCCCCCTGGTGTGAAAGTATCCTATAGCATAGTTCCAAGGCTTGACCTTTGTGAAGTACAATATATTTATGTTTAGAGAAGGCCTTCCAGAAGCTGTGGTACTTCGGAAGCACCAGCCTCTTCATCTCTTCCTCAGGTTTACCTCATCATCATCATCATTGTCAACTTTATCCAAAGATCTGAGATGGGCATAAACATGACCAGCATTTATCCTCCCCATCTCAGTGTGATTTAGGTGACTTGGCTTTAAATAATCTAAGAGAAACTCAGCCACTGCCTGAGAGGCTATAGAAATGATTCTATTATTTACCTAACAGAAACTACGATAGATGTCAGTTTAAGGTGATCTCTAATAAATGTAATATAACATACCTCAGCCGCTGCCTGAGAGGCTATAGAAACAACTGAGGTATTCCTCTAAACCCCCTACTACTTATAGTTGGAGTGTGAGGCAACAATAAACTATAACAAAAACAATACCCGTCTCTGACTGCGCTTGCAGGGAGTAAGAAGTACAATGAGTCTGAGATCGACAGATGCTAGCGAATATAGCAGGTAGAGGATATGGGAGTAGACTCAGAGGTTTCTGTTGAGAAGTAAAGCGGATATTTCAAGTAATAGAAAGCTAAGGAACTATACACAAATAGGTAAGGCTTTTATAGCTAACCGTCTACCCCTCAGACCGAAAGAGGAATAAGAGGAAAGTGGTCTGAGGGGAAAATCAACCAATAAGAAAAAGGGTAATTATTGTACGACTTTGAAGATTAATCAGCAGGTGAGAAAGTATACTATTAATAAGTGTTGTCATGCATGTCCAGGAACTATATCCTCATGATGGGGTACGATCCTGATTAAAGCATCTATTAGTGTTACGATAACACAATTTTCGGACCTTTCCGTTATTTTCATTCTCCGCTCTAACCTTGTACTTTAGCTTTCACACATGGTGCCACGCGGCACTTCCCCTTTTGTCCAAACTCCTCTTTCTCGCACCGCGTTGCCTTTCTTCTTATTTTAAACACAACTCTCTCACACAGTGGAGCTGGCCATGCGGTGTCGATGATGAGAACTGTTGTTAGAAAACCACACACAAAACAAACTAACACACAATCCTCCCAGATTCCACGGAACTTGTTTATGGGCTTTGCCTCCTAGAACAGTGGAGTGGTCTGGTTGTTCCTGGGGTGGTACGTATAAAGATCCTTCAAAGTAAAACCCAGAGGTGTATGAGTGTGGGTTTTGAGGAGGAGGGATAGTTGAATTTATAGAAGGATAGGGGCTTTGTGACGAGTATAGACGAGCACTACCTTGCTAATCGTAGCACAAGGTAGGTTTGAGAACGACGAGGATGACGAGGTGACAAGGTTCCCAGTGATAGCAGGCTCCTGACGCACAAACTGTAGTGCTCAGAAGGACTCTAATCGAAAGGGATGACAATGACTTCAAAAGTGGGAAGTGACGATGGCAGCAATTAACAGTGGTAGCAGTGGGAAGTGTTGTGACCACACTGGATCACAAGTAGCAGAGTAGTGAACTTGAGAGTAGAGAAGAAGTCTGGATTCGAGTTCTTGTTCTTTTTTTACAAGGTAAAATACAGGGGTTTATATAGTAAAAGAAAAGTAGGCTATGCACAGTATAGCTGTGCAAAAAGAATGAGAAAGAATATGAAGGAAGGAATGTACGCTGACGAATCCTGCGTAGGTAGTACAGGATAAGATTGTCAAAAAAAGGAAAAGAAAGAGATAGAACAATGAATGCTGTGAGTAATGTCACAGGTTTGTATGGCCATAAAGTAAAGTCCAATAGCAAAAAGAGAGCAGGAAAATCATGATGTCATGGGAAGATGCAGTAAAAAAATGGCAAGGCAAAACACTATCAGTATCAACACAGTTCCTTTATTGTCAGTCAGGCATTCTAAAAAAATATGTGTCCATAAAAATGATTCAAAATCAAAAATAATTGCACTGTAAATGAATGTTCTGCTGAAGAAAAAGAAACTGGAGCCACCGGTCCACCACCTAGTCCAAATCCGACAGTTCCATGGCCTTACCAATGGACTGGTTGTGTTGGACCACCTGATCAAACGAGGGAGGGAGAGGAGTAGTTCCAATTTGGAACAAGTGAGTCCCAGGCAGCGTGTGGTAGGTGTAGCTGTAGCGAAGACGATGGACAAAAGATAAGTGTACCCAAGTGAATGGGACAGCGATGAACATGGGCGACGCAAGGGGATGAACCTTCTCCAGCTCAAAAATTACCCACCCACGCTCCAACCAGGCAAGACGAGCGACCGATGTTTTGATGGTATATGATGGCAGATCGACGTCATGAAGATGGACCTGTTGCCCTATTTGGACCGGCCGCCGGGGCTTTGCTGATATCAGCAGTGGCACGTGGTAGTCAACGGATCGGCGACGGAAGCGGATAGGAAGTGGTGACATCAGAAATGGTGGGGGTGCAAATAAGATGAGGAGGAGGAGGGTGGAGGTGACAAACAAGTGGATTAGAATGGGGATCCAGAAACGACCGTCAGGTGAGAATAAAAAGGAGAGGAAGGGGCCCATGGTGGGGCTAGGCAACGGACGGGGAGTAAGGGAAACCACAAAAGCAAGGGCGCAATCCAACGTGTAGCCAGTGGCGACGCAACAACTTGCCCACATCCACCATGCGGAAACTACCGGATGAAAAGCAA